TCACAGCTCACAGCAACCTTCAACTTCTTGGGCTTACAGGATTCTCTTGCTTCAGCCTCCCAAGTAGCTGGGACTACAGGCACCTGCCTGGCTATTTTTTTTGTGGCAGTTTGGTTGGAGCTGGGTTTGAACCCACCACCCTCGGGTATATGGGGCCAGCGCCCTGCCCACTGAGCCACAGATGCCACCTAAAGCTTTGATTTCTTATTTGAGGCTAACAATCCTCCTAACAGATTAGGTGAAAGAATTTATCTAAAATTTAATGAGAAAATTGGAACAAAGTTATTTATAAAAGTGAAAACAGAAGTAAGCAGAGAAATAATGTTATTAGCCATTATATATATGGAGAGAGAAAAATAGAAGACATTTGTTTTTACCCTAGGTCTGTGAGCATCATTATTTAATGTTTGTGATCTAGAAACTGAACAATTAAAATTTGTTTCAAAAGTATTGAAATTAAAAAAGAATAAATACACTAAATGAATGAAAGAATAAGACCCTAATTATATGAAAAAAGTAACACTTAATGGACCTATTAATGACTTATCTTTGAGAGTGCCATGCTAAAATCTGAGCTTTTATATTTAGCTGAAATTAAATTTCACACAAGCTTTACTATCTTAAATTTCATTCATTTACAAGTTTAGAATAATAAATGAAATAAGGCAAAGAAGTAATAGAGAAGTTATAACATCAAAAAAGCAGAAATAGAACAATAAAGGGGAATATCACCTTTTTAAAACAAAGACCATGCCCAGGCTGCCCTTCACTGCCAGGCAGGAAGAAAAAAAGAAATAAAAGAAGCCTTAGCGAGATGTCCCAGAGAAGAGATGGAATTTCTGAGGGCCGTAGAATAATTGAGATTTATGAGATTACTATATTCTGACCAGTGATATTCTCCAAATGCAAAGCCCCACTTAAAAGTAAATCAGAATCTTGTAGTCCAAAATCCATAATGTAAACTGCTCCACAGAGCAATTTAGTCACTACACAAGTTGTTAATATTACACAAATGTATAAATTACTTTGGAAGAATGCTATGAATATTACTAACCAAAGGGGAAAATATTGTATTTTCCATGAAAATAAACCTCAATGATCCAGATTAAAAGGAAAGCAGGAAAGTTCATCAAAAAGATCTCATAGTTAGTGCGGCTTAAACATTTGCTTTTTAAGAAATGATCATAAATTTTTTATTGCCTCAGTGCATTTTATAAAAGAATATGGATGTTAGTAGGAACCAGGGAAACCTATATTGTAGCTCAAGTGGCTAAGGCGCCAGCCACATATACCAGAGCTGGTGGGTTCAAATCCAGCCCGGGCCTGCCAAACAGCATTGACTACTACAACCAAAAAATAGCTGGGCATTGTGGCAGACGCCCATAATCCCAGCAACTTGGGAGGCTGAGGCAAGAGAATCGCTTAAGCCCAGGAGCCGGAGGTTGCTGTGAGCTGTGATACCATAGCACTCTACCCAGGGTGAGAGTTTGAAGCTCTGTCTCAAAAAAATAAAAATAAAAATAAATTAATTAATTAAATTAAGTAAATAATAAGTAAATAATTAAATTTACTTATAATAATTAAATAAGTAAATAATTAAATTTACTTATTATCCCTGATACAACACCTCACAAACTTCTACTTATGACACAGAAAAATTCAATATTCATGAAAACATAGCTTAATTATTGCTAGACTTAAAAAGAAAATTAGACCATGAAATCAATAAAAATAAAGTAAAAATCATAATCACAAGCTAACATAATTCTCTACCTTATTACCTCATAATTAAGGCAGTGAGTACATTTTAAACATTTTAGAGATAGAAGAAAACATTATACAATTTTTATAGGATACAATAAATACATATTTTTCACATCTGTAGAATTATAAAGACAATTATTTTACAAAGACTAGAGTAAGGCAATTTAATATGGTCTGCTAAATATATTGAAATTTGTAAAAAAAATAAGAATGCAAATGTTTCTCAAGATTATGAGCCATAAAAAAATCAGTCCATGCCAAAACTTTCCTTTGGATAAAACATGGTGAACCCTTATATAATTGAAAGCATAAAATATATTTTATTAAAGCCAAAAATGTAAAAAAAATTACTAAATTGTTAAGTCAGGTGGTTCAAAAGAGAAAAACAAAACTGAGTTAACAGATCAAGAGAAGAAAATTCCAACAAAAGAAATAACAACAACAACAAAAAAAGAAATAACAATTAAAAACAAATATATAGAGTCAATAAATAATGTAAAGTACTTGCTTTTCAAAGGCCAAATTAATTTGAAAGATGATTAAATCAAAGGACAATTAAACATTCAATTCAGCAATGGGAAATGGGCATAAACAAAATCTATGCTTTAGCTTTAAATTAAATTCCAATTTAAGGGCGGCGCCTATGGCTCAAAAGGGTAAGGCGCTGGCCCCATATGCTGG